TTATTTATTTTATTTATTTTATTTATTTTATTTATTTTATTTATTTTATTTATTTTATTTATTTTATTTATTTTATTTATTTTATTTATTTTATTATTTTATTTATTTATTATTAGTATTTTTTATTAATAAATAATTATAGTTGCAGTTTTTATACAGAATGCAAAATTCAAGGCTTTTAAGCTTCTAATGTATCTCAGCATTATCAAGCTAAGCATCCTGCTATTACTTATAATAAAAGTTTAGAAAAAATAAGAAAAAGAAGTATATTATTTTAATTATATAATTTTATTATTTATTTCTATATATTAAATTTTTTATAAAAGCTAATATTATTCCTTTAACTAATAATGCTTTATTTAATTTAAATAAGTAAAATAAAAAAGTTAAAAGCAATAATAATAATAATAATAATTCTTTATTAAGCTTTAATAAAGAAAAAGCTTTAAATAAAATATTAATTTTTTTAATAAAGAATAATATCTTTTTTAATACTATATTTTTAAATTCATTTAATAAATTATTATCTTATTATAATAAGTTATTTTATTATTATTATTATATTTATTATATTTATTATTATTTTTTAGTAAGTATATTATAGTTAATTAAATTAATATTAAAGAAATATTAAAAGATAATTATAATAAGGCTTTATTAAATTTAAATATATATATAAAAGCTAATATTAAAAGCTATAGAACTTTTTTTATAACTTTTAATATTTAGACTTTAAATAATTAAAATTCCTATTTAAAAATTATTTTAATTTATATTAATTTAGATTTTAAATTAAAATTTAAATTAATAAGTATTTTATTTATTTATTTATTTATTTTATTTTATTTTATTTATAATTATTAATTTTATTATAGGTTTTATTAAATTAAAAAAAAGCTATATAGGAATATATATATTCCAGCAGTTTAAAAAAGCTTTAAAGTAATATCTTTATTTATTAAATATAAATAATATATTTAGGTATATTTTTTTATTTATTTAATTTAAAATAATATAATTAATAAATAATTAATTTTTTAATTATTAGTATTATAAAAAATAATGCTTATAATAATAATACATTTATAGAATCTTTTAAAGAAGCTTATAAAAAAGCTAATAAAAAAGAATTTATAAATAATATTAAATATATAGCACATATTATTAATTTAATAGTATAAAATATATTAAAAGACTATATATCTAATGCTAATTTAAGCTTATTATTATTAAAATATATAAATTTACATTTATATAATAATAATAAAAATAAATAATTTAATAATATAAATTATAATAGTAAGTTATTTTATTATTTTATTTTATATTATTATTTTATAAAAAACACTAATAAAAATTAGATTTAATAAATTAATTAAGATAAATTATAGCTTTAGTTAAATATATAATAGAGCTTAATAATTTATTAAGCAATAGTATATTAAAAGCTAAAAAAAATAAAAAAATACCTGCTAATTATAATAAAGAAAAAATTCCTTTAGGTATTTATATATTATTTTATTATTTTATTTTATTTTATTAAATTTTTATTAATTTAAATAAATAATTTAAATAGAATTTAACTTATTATATACTTAATATTTTAATTTAAAAAAGCATTAAATTATTATTATAAAATTACTAAAAATCTAGAATTTAAAAAGGTATTTATTTTATAATTTTATTTATAATTATAATTATTTAATTACTAATAATTATAGTTATTTTTTAATAAAGTTAAATAAAAGGCTAGCTTTATATAACAATTTCAATAGCTTTATTATATATTTAAAAAATATATAATAAACTAGAAAGCTTATTAAAGCATTATTTAAATATTTTAATAAAATCTAAAATAGTAAGTTATTTATTAAATTAAATTAACTATTTATTTATTAATTTATTATAAGCTCCTTTTTATAATATTTATATAAAAGCTATTAAGTCTAAAATAATTAAATTAAAGAAATATTTTCCTAGGAAATTAAATTTATTTAATTTAATTAATTATGACTTATCTTTTTAGTTTATTTTTAAATCCTAGATTTAAAAATATTCATATTAAAAAAAATAGCTTATTATTTTTTTATAATAATATTTATAAAGATATTATTAATTTATTTAAAATTAAATATAATAAATAAGTTTATTTTATTATTTTATTATTATATTATTTATTAATTTTATTATAAATTAAAAGAAGAAATAAACAGGCTAGAAATAATTACTAATTCAGTTAATTTATCTTTTAATAAATTAGCTAAAGATTTTAATTATAATAATTATTTATTAGATTTTAATAAAGAATTTTATTTAAAGACTAATAATAATAATAAAAATAATAAATTATTATTATATTAAAATGAAAGTCTTATAAAAGAAAATATAAGTTATTTTATTATTATTTTATATATATATATTTACTAATAAAATAACTATAGGAAAACCCTTTAAAATATTAAAAAATAAATAATAATAGATTTCCTTTATTATTTATTTTAGCAAGGCGTTATTTAGCTATTCCTGCTACCTCTGCTGCTATAGAAAGTGTTTTTTTTATTTTTAATATTATAACTAAATCTAGAAATAGGCTTGAGCCTAGTTTAGTTAAGGAAATAATATTATTAAAAAGCTGGATTAAAGATTTTAAAGAGCTAGAAAATGAATATTCTAAAGAAAAAAATTAAGATAATTAATTATTAATTTATATAATTTTTTTATATAAATTTTATATAAGTTATTATAAAATATAATAAAAGTTATATATAATAATTAAATTTATTATAAAATATATTAAAAAATAAAATAAAAAACTTAAAT